AGCAGGAGCACAGTCAGAAGCACGCTCTTCCGTCTCCCAAAACACTACGCAAGGATTTCAATCGGCGGTGTTTAGTAAACAACCTAAGGTGGTTAATTTCTCTGCAGACGGTAACGATTTGTGTGCCTGGCGTTTGAACAGTTGTTTCAGGGTCTGCGGAGCGCATTCTAGTCTAGCACACAGGATTTAGATGCTTAATTGCTGCGATGGACACTTGTGTTTCCGCTAACCTGAGAGCTCAATTTTACCACACTGTCCGAAACGGACCAATAAAAGCTAAGGGATATGGCGGTTTAATTAAATTTATTGCGGGTTGTTTGGTAGTGGGAAATGCGTGGCTAGGGCTCGCGCACAAACTTTTACCGTCTGCAAAGCCCACCGAATATGTTTATTGTGCAATGAACAAATTTAGCCTTCCCCCAAGTTAACCGAAATGATATTTGCTAGTAGGTAAGTGCAAATTTTTTGGATCAAAAGGCGCACCTAAATGATAGTGTCTAATTTAATTAATCACCGTGGCTACAATATCACTTTAATAACATTACTCGTCCTACCCAATAAGATTAAGGGAGTTTGTGGAACTCTCTTGCCCTGGTCGGGTCAATGTAACTTGTCGTTTCTGTATTAACAAGTGCCTATCCCACTGAAAATTCGAAACACACATTGATGATCTTTACAAAATGACATTGCATGGGATTGTAAGAAAACATTTGAACCAAAAGAGCTACGAAAGCATTAAAATTTGTTGTGTTGACGTGGCAAACTGCCCCTGTTGCCACACTCTCCCTCACTTGCACACTAACACTGATTCAAGGTCACACTTCATTGGCTGACCTTTGCGCACTTAAAGTCAAATTTTTTCCAATTTAAAAACCTTTCCTCCCGAGAACAGGGAAAGAAATTTCACGATAACTGCTTTTAAACACAGGTCAGATTTTCACGTAATGGTTTAACCTTTAGAAATGTCAACATGTGTAGAGCCTTGATATTAGCGGTATCCGTGCACAGATACCGTAATGTGTCTGGGATTAGTTGACTACCGGGACAGGATTAATAATGAAGCACTGGCGTACGCCGATGCTACTACTGACAGAGGCATCAGTAGATCACACGGGGTAATGTTAAATCTCAAATTGACCACTAAATGCGAAGTTGTCGTGGAGCAGGGGTTAATTTCAGATAAAGTACTTACGACCGGCGACCGAATATCTTTACTTATGGGGTGTTTTAGCGATGAGGTTTGATATTAATAATAATAGTACACGAGATTTGACTGATTTCCAGTAAGCCGACGGTTACACAAACGCTTGCAGAGTGTGTGCTGGCATCGCAGACAACACCTAATACCTAATAGGACCATGAAACAGTGGTTTAGTCGATTTCAGACTAGAGACTTCAACCTGAACGCTGAAATCATCAAGCGCAACTCCAGAGGTGAGCGACATTTCAGGCAACGCATATGCTATCCCCACTCTTCTAAACGACGCCAACAACTGATTCCAGTTACCCCAGGCTTGTCAGAAAAATCAACTTCTTTTGGATCAAGCCATTAGCCAACAGCATCAATGGTGAGAGGTTATAAGGCTTTTGGAGAATATTCAAACACATCTTGCGATAGTCCACAAGAAAGGACGTGAAAAATCGCTAAGGAGGAGCTACCCGTGACTTGACCACGACTAAGCTGTGAAGATATCGCGGCTACCGTTGCCATAGCATCGATAATTTAACTAGGTTGAATGTACAGTGTAAACCGGTGAATTACAAGCAGTTACAAAAATTATGTCTACGAGACCAGATATAACAAGCAGACCACTCAAAAAAATTACTTAAACTAGAAGGCAGGCTACTACCAAATACACTGTATCGGATTGCATTCCAAGTATAGAGTAGCAACAACAGTTGACACTAAAAGGAGAATTGCGGACATCGCATTTCCCATAACAGGGTCTGATCAGGTTGCAGTTGAATGGTGATTTACTTAATGCCGCATCTCCACAAAAGGGGCACCAAAGATGTCACGAAAACTCGATCAGTCTTAAATTTGGATCCATTCACGACAAGTAGGCATGCCACCTGGATTTGGGAATGCCGTCTAGAAGCGTCGGCGTACACCTTGAATGCAATTACCAATGTTTGCGTTGGGGATCCAGGTTGGGATTTCGTTATTGTCTACACAATTCCCCTAACCACGTCACTCCAGTGGGTGAGTCACCCACGGGACCCTACTGACAGCCCCGTCTGTGTTATTGCG